GCTCGCACTGCTTTGCACAGATATTTTTTAAAATGCATTGATTATTGGACAGCACTTAAAAATTAGTCTGTTGGCATGCTATTTGAATTTGTTTTTCTTTGTCAATATTTTTTTACTATCTGATTATGATCTCTACATTCTTATAAAAGGGCCAAAGTAATTGCTCTTAGGGGGGAACTCCCAATTCAAATGCACTGACTCAGCACTTTGCTACTAAGTTAATACTGCAGGCCACTGAGAATGAGCTGTTAGCATCCTTCCTGAAAAGGGCAGTTCAGTCCTCCAGAACAGATGACATTCATTTACTGATCTGATTAGGATTACAATGGAAAGCTCTTACTCAGCACAGCTCTCCTTGGAGAACGAGTGTATGTATATGTGCATAGGCAGATGGTTTTTATTATTATATAAATACACAAAAATAAGAAGATCTTGTCTGCACAACACAGGACAATCTAAACATGACAGTTTTCAATTATCTAACCTTCTGACAAGATCTCTGCACAGGATTTTTAAAGAGCTTATACAATTGACTCTACAAAGCAACCTGTTACTCCTCTCCCAAGGGCCAGATGTTTATTTCAGTAATCTCTTTAGTAGGAGGCTTCCAGAAACAAAGGCTTAATAAAAGGGAGCAGATGTCAGCTACAGCTTTATTGTTCGGACAGCACATGACAAACTCAGGCTGATGTGACGTTTGCCATTCATTCCGCAACCCTGACAAGATACACAGACACCAACTATCCAAGAACCCGTATGCCTCACCTCTAAGAGTCCAGGTGCAGGGGGGCTTCCCTCAGCCAAGCACTGAAGGCCTCAGACTGGCATAATGTCCACCTGGGGAATATTCAGGGCAGTCAGTGGCAGGATCAGTGAGTACTATGGATGGCAGCAGGTGCCATCTCCCCCTTCTGTGCACCTTCCAGGTCATCATCTTATTTTACAAATTGTTTAGATAAGAATATTATCAAATCAGACCACGACAGGAATTTGAGAAGAGGGAGGGATGGAAAGGTCAGGGAGTTAACTCACTATGGAAGTCATAACTTTTTGCAACTGCAAAAGGTAACTAAGAGTGATTTCAAACACCACCTTAACTTGGCAATACAGGAAACTCTACCTCTGACAGGAAAAATAATCAAGAAATTTTCAGCATCATCAAACCCTAACAGCTGTTTTATGATCTCTGAGTTATTCACACTAACTCTCATCTCGCAAGGTTATCCCTTTTCTAAAGACGGACCCGGACCACCACGACTCTAAGCAAGTTGGGTAGGACACCTCCGAGGGCGCAGGGAACTGAATGGACACTCACTGAATATCAAATTAGCCCCACAACTGCCCTAGCTCCTGAAGTAAACACACTGCAGCACGCGTGCTAAGGTGACATCTGCCACGTTGCTTGAGGATCTGGAAAGACAGAGTTCAAGCTCTCTGCATCTGTAGGCACAAGAATAACGACAAACTCCACGACGACAGGCCAGTGCAGAAACCCAGAGGTGGCCTCTAGCTAGTTTTCTTCAATCTCTCTTTCCTGTTCTTTCTCTTATCAGTGAGTAGTTACTGATTCATCACTTGACACATATAAAAAAGGAAGAAACAGAAATGTGCATAAATCTTTCCAGGATCTTTTAAAAAAACAGAAGAGACTGATGGTTAACAGTGCAGATATCAGTGCCTCAGTAATCGCCTGTGCGCTGAATAGTTTCTCAAGAACACTGCATCTCTTTCAGCAGCCTGTTTTAATTTCTCTTGCCTATAGGCCTTCACTGTTTTGATGGAGTTGATATCCATATATTACATTTCAGGGAAGGACAATAAATATCACGTATCTCTTACTCTACTGCTGCCCGCTAGGCACTCTGTCAGGACTTACCCTAACACTCGAAACCATATGAGCAGCTTCCAAGAAGAAAGAAAAAAAAAAAAAAAGTCAGCCTGCTATGTAAATATTTTCCCTCCAGCTCAAACTCCCACCTGGAAACAGATCTCCTTTTAATTTTGGTTGGCCTAAATTTCAGGCGATCTCACAGCAGTGACAGATTTATGCCTATAAAACTGCCCCTGTCTCAAAGTGCTAACTTGCAGCTTTGCAAGATTTAAAATAGAGTGCAGTTTCACTGGAAAGTGGAGATCTCCAATCTTCTGAAAGATATAGGAGTCACTCCTAGTCTAAGAAGTGTTGTGTATTCAGTTGTGGAGATTTCAGACAAAGCAGAAGAGGGAGGTGTGAGGCACAGGCAAGAGCTCTCCATGTCCAATCCTCTGGCTACTGCAGATCCTGTTTGCATAAGTGTACCTATGGCTCCTCACCTACCATGTGAAGAAGCTAGAGCCCTAGCTGGGGGCTGCAAACTGCACTCCAGAAACCACATGCCCAGAATGTGGGCATTTCAGAGCTTGGCATCATGCTATAGTCACTTTGTGAATCTGGCCCTAATGCACCAACCTGCAGTGATCTCTCCATCTGTCTGGACTTTCCATGGTCCGTGTAAAAAAGGTAACAGCAAGTAATAAGTAAGGGAGGGTAAGTAATTATTTGTTCATTCTTTTAAATAGTGTTTTTAACCTGCAGGATATTTAATAGCTTGTACTATGTTGGATCCTACCAGCGGTACTTTAGAAAAATCTGAGTAACTCACATGCAAAATCACTGATCTGGCTGCGTAAAATAAATTCCCAATGGGAGGCAGAGCATTTAGAAATTTTTCTGTAACCTTGAAAGCAAAGGATTTAGTTAGAGAAAACTTAGAAAATGAACTACAGTCTTCATCATCATGTTTTTACTGGGTCCAGCTGGGATGGAGCTAACTTTCTTCACAGCAAAGTAGGCTGGAAGTAGGCAAGAGGTTAGGAGGAGACCCAGCTGGGACAGCTGACCCCAATTGTCCAGAGGCATGTTCCATACCATACAACATCATGCTCATAAAAAACTGGGGAGTGGTTGGTGTGTGTCTTCCAAGGTAGCTATTGCTCGGAGACTGGCTGGGCATCGGTCTGCTTTTGGGAGATGGTGAGTGTCTGCATTTGTACCACTTGGGTTTTTTCCTTTTCCTTCACTTATCAAACTGTCTTTATCTCACCTTATGAGTTCTCTTGCTTTTGCTCTTCCTATTTTCTCCACTGTCCTCCTAGGGGAATGGGGGGAGCAAGCAGCTGTGTGGTTGCTGGCTGGAGTCAACCCACAACAGACCTTTTTGGCTCCTGAACAGGGACTCAAAATGTTCATGATAATGACAGACTGGATCAGAGTGTTCTAGACTGAATTTACTGCTGTTTTATCTGTTTAGCTGTTTAGTTTGTGTTGCTGGTCATGACGTTGACTCGCTTGTTCTTGATGCTGATTTGTTTTTTCCTCAGTTGCTCTGTTGCTTGCTCCCTTTCTTCCACCTTTTTAATGGCTGTTTTCAGCTTTTGCCGTTTGCCGTGTTATCACTTTCTTTTGCTTTGCCTGGGAGAACCATGATAAAAACATTGGCCTTGAGCCTAATCTGATACAATTTTCACTAACTCAACTAACAGAAAACTCAGTGGGTATTTTTTCAGTTTCAGTTATTTAATAGTGATTTTATTTACTTATTTATGTTAAGATAAACACATGAACACACTCTCTGTGGAAATGACAAAGACAGAGAAGATGTGCAATGTCTGCTGACTTCATTTAATTGTGATATTTTAATGCCCCTTCCAGCACAAGGTCATCCTTTGCCTCCTGCCTAATGTTTTGCCTCCAGCCTTATTACCTAAGCACTTCATTAACTAGTGCCACAGGCTAACTGATGAATTTCAGAGATCCTGCACATACTTCTTCCTTCATCCTAGAAAACAGTTTATTTCAAAGCATGTTTGCTCTTTAAAGATGTTCATGCAGACAGTGAAGTCTAATAATAGGATTAACCCTGCTCAACCAAAACAGCTATCAGCTGAGCAGACAGATTAATGAGACCATCTCACATGCTGCATGACATCTTCTTCCTTGCTAATTCTAAACAGCAATTTCTAAGAGGAGGTTAAAACAGGCTATGAAGACAAGCTGAAAGGGTGAGAAACAACAGCTTAAAAGATTGTATTTCCCAGGTAAATGAAAATCACGCAGAGCAATGAAATTGTTGTTATTTGTAAGTGAGGGGCTTGTCCCTAAGTGAGGGTCAAAATCCCTTCCATGTCCCAGATACATTTCTTTAACTGACATTTCTTACCTGGAAGTAGAAAGATATGAGTTACACTGCTGAGTATATATGAGTAAGGCCAACACAAAGTATATGGAAAGGATGTTAAACACCTCGCTTCAGGAAGCCAGTTAGCTGCTGCATCATACCCAATCTGTTTGTTGCAGAGGATCCTAAATCACTCATGGGCTTCCTGCATAAAGCTAACAATGTCACTGCAGTTCACAGGTTCTCAGCACATCTGAACCATCCGTTAGCCAGAAGCAGCTTCGTTACAGCACTGTTGAGTCTGGAGGGGACTAAGTTAGAACCAGCTTGGGTGTATGTTCACCACATTGTACTCTGAAAGCCACATAATACCCACTTTTACTCTGCTCCGGCTATCATACACACAAAGACCATCTTCCCCATTTCATTCTCCTACTGAATTCCCAGACAAACCTTACCCAATTACTGCCTGATGCAGCTAGGGTGACATCTCAAACCTCCCCTTCCCCCACGAGCCAGTCTACCAGGTACCTCAAACCATAAATCCACAGCTTATAGTGATCTCATGAGGGACTTGACCATCAAAAGGTTGAACACGAAGCGTTTGACATTACAAATTCTCACATTTGTGAAGGGAATCCACTAGCTGAAGACAACCTTAGGATTTACAGATGAACTACGTGAATTTTCACTGCATGATCATTACCTGCTCCTATTGCCCCAAACTGTCAACATTTATTCAGATACTACTAGAGAAAGCTCAACAGCAGTTCCCAGCTTTTTTTAAATGGCCAACAGGGTATACTAATACATCATCAGTTGACAACCGTAACAGCTACTTACTCCACAGTACCGATCATCACTGAATATCTGCGGTGGCAGTGGATTGCCTTGCGCAGGCTGCCTATCCTCAGGAATATTTTTATACATCCATTGTCTTTTCTCCTCTGACATTGTGATATCCACTTCTTCAAACTCTATGCGATTGGCTTCCAGAAACCTCACTACATCTTGTTGTCTCTTCTTTATCTGGATGAAAGAAAGAGGAAAAAAAACAATACTCAGAGCAAGTCCACCATAACACTGACGCGCTTACAAACCTGAGTGCAGTCCTCCTCTCCTGTCCCACTTCCACAGGATGGGAAGTCACAAACTCACGAAGGCAAAGAAAATATTTTTTTCAGTTTTATGTTCATAGAAGTTAAACACTGTTTCTTTACAAGTTGGCAAAGGTTATACTTCCCCACCTCATTTCTAGAAGGCTGCCTCTTTAGTTCAACTGTGGGAATTTCAGCCTTTGCTCCCTAAAGATGCTTTGAAAAAAATACTCTGTATGGGACTCTTCAGAAGTAGGAACTGAAAGAGGTAGCTGGTTTTCAAAGTCATTAGGAGCTACATTTTTTAAGTATACAAGCAGCTAGAAATGCAAGATAAGCAACCTGGCAAGTCCCGGAAGAATCTACTCCTGGAAGTGTTTATTGAGATAAACATGTCAGCACATCTGAAAAAAAAAAAAAAAACCCCACCCCAGCTCCACACATTTTTGTTTTCCTACACACCCACACATCTTTTAAAATGCAGCTCGACAGTTCCCTGAACAAGGCTTGCTGAATCTCTAATTAAGAGTGTCTGTCTGCATAATACACATGCCTAAAAATAAGCATGATCTCATCTCTTGAAAATTAACTCACTGCAAAAAAAAAAAAGCATGAGGTTTACACTAAGTGTGTGGGGTTTCTGCTCCTCCAAGACGTGATAATCTTTGTACAAAAGCCTAACAGAGGCAGAACACCAGCAGTTTTTAGCTCACTGTAAGGTCAATCCTTAATAACTAGCTGGGCTTCACGCACATACACTCAGGTGAAGTCTACTTGCCTTTACACCAGCCTTTGTAATGAAGTCTGTAGGGCCGAGGAAACCTACCTGGGCTCATTCAGCCAGGTCTGCTCTGCATTCTCTTTAGCGCATAGTGTATTTCTTGCACCTACTTAATGAAATTATGTCAGAAAGGAACTATATACTGTATTTCTTACAGCTATCATCAACAGCATTATTTCAAGAAAAAAATTCAGTATTCCTGGAGTGTCAGATCCATGCAGTTGCTGACTGGCACAAAGCCCAGGTGGATGAACCATGCCTGTGAGTATCATACGACCTAGATACTATTTGGAAATCAGAGGATTTTTAAAGTGAATGTGCTAGTTGTTCCTGTCACACAACCCAGTCTGTCTACCTAAATGCACCACAAAAATACATAACTTTTGGAAGTAATGCTAATGGAACCATTGTTTCCTCGAAATAAGAGAGTAGCCATCTGAAGAAACTCCAAAGACAAAGCTCTTAAATGATTACTGTCTTTCTTAAGAAGTGAGCTGCATAGTAAGTTTGTGTCTCAGTGTCTTATTCTTTTCCTTTTTTTACATATACTGCTGGGGTTTTATAGGCATATGTGAAAAGATCACTTTTTCATACAGAAGGCTGCTCCTAAAATTGTGTGCAAATAATGCACTATCAACAACAGCAAAATCACTGCATCACATCACCGCTGGTACCCAAGACAACATGTCTTTTATTATCTCCCTAAAAAACTGCAAAGACAAAATTCTCTTGTCGATGTGGAAGTGAAAGATGAAAATATTTTCCTCTTGCTGTTTGCACCATGAGAACTCTCCCACAAACCCACATTTCCTAATCTCTACTTTTTTTTTTTAATAAAATTAGTTAAGATGTTGAAGTGAAATAAATTGTGAGGGTTTTTTTTTTAGCCAGAAGCCTTGCAATTTTCCATGACATCTGCATGAGTTATCTCTGTGGATGTGCCAGCTGCATGAATTTAAACAAAATGCTCCAAAAATTTTCAGCCAAAAAAAGCAGCATCTTCTCCTCCCCTAAGTGACTTGATTCACTGCAACAAGAGCATTAGCTACATTTAAAATCCTACTAAATTATGCCTTGTTGTTTAAGATGGATGCTCAGAGCATCTGCCACAACAGAAGCCAGCTGATTATTCCCAAGAAAACCACAGGACCTTTGTCTTCCTCTACAACTGGATCTGTGCCGCAGGAGTACGTCAGCCTCACGACCCTGCCTGCAGCTCTCATCTGCGGTTACTCTGAGCTCTGAGACCTTCCAGCATTCAACCACATGAAACACTGAGCAAAGACAACATGTCCCAAAGAGCGGTGGCAGTTCTCCCTGCCTCACGAGCCTACACAGAGGCTCTGAGCTCCAGTCAAGAGCCCAGTGGAGAAAAATATATCTTCATTTGACAAACTATCGAGGTGGATACTTAGTTCTCTTTGTGAAACTTAGCCTTGTACCTTGCTGCTTCCAAGTTTTCCAGAGTGTGATGCAACTGAAAGGAACCTGAAAGGCCACTTATATAATCAGAGATACCACATTCAGAGAAACTCTGTTTGTGGCTATTCATACACCACTTTGAGGAAGCATCTGTATTCCTACAGGATAGACTGCTTTAGCATCCAAATATTTTGGTTTTAATGCATTGCAGCGCACCAGAAGACACTGCGGGACCATCAAAATACATATCCATTGTGAAGTTTCAGAGGAAAATCATTACATAATACGATCCTCATCTATCTTTAATTCAGTGAAAAAAAACTCTGACAGAGCTAATAGTCTACTATTATAATTTGATCTTTGTCTCCTGTATTTTTAGCAGGGTGATTGCTTTCCAAACGTCATTTCTCTGGGTTTAGTTTTACTGTTAATCTATATTTCTGTTCACAAAAGTACAACAGGAACAATTCCCCAGAGACATCTCTATTCTATCCTGCTATTTAGAGCTGGTCTCCTTATTAGGATTAAAGAGCAGCAAAAACAGGATGTCCATTTTGATATACAAAACTGCTCAAATAAGCTAATCACTTATTCAGCAGCCTGATTTATAGAGAAAATCTATCGTAGCTAATGCACCCTGCCTTTCTGCCCCAGTTTTCCTTCCTTTATACTGATTTGCTACAGGTAACAGAAGGATATGCTTTCAGGCTGCTTTGGAGAAATACTTCAAAGACATACTCAGGCCTGGACAGGTGGGACCACTGGGATTAGCTAGTCTGACCTTCAGCATCCCTGAATTAATTTATTTTAGCACTAAAGATTTTCTTTGGATTTTTTTTTCCCCCCTAAACTCCATTCCAGAATTGATAACAACAGAGAATCTGCTAGTCTTTGTAAATTGATCCTATAGTTAATTAACTGCCTTAACTTAAAATATTTCCATACTTCTGTTCAGAATTCGCCTCACTTGCAGCTTTCAGCTACCTCACTTTTTATGTCTTTGGCTAGACTAAAAACTCTTCTGCTATAAGATTTCTGGTTCCCACACAACTAATATGGGGAAGAAACAAATCTCACTGCTAATCTGAACAGTGACAGTGACCTCTGGCCACAAGAGAAATCCTATTACTCATTTAACAGCAGAATGACAAAATGAGGATGTTACCATCATAAATCATGTCCAGACTGGAGCAGAAGTTTAGCAAAATCATAAAATCATTAACGTTGGAAAAGACCTCAAGGATCACCAAGTCCAACTGTCAACCCAACACCACCAACCCACTAACCCATGTCCCCAGGCACAACATCTACACGTTTCTTGACCCCCTCCAGGGATGGTGACTCCACCACTGCCCTGGGCAGCCTGTTCCAATGCCTGAGCACTCTTGCAGTGAAGAAATTTTTCCTAATATCGAGCCTAGACCTTCCCAGGTGCAACTGGAGGCCGTTTCCTCTTGTCCCATCACTTGTCACTTCAGAGCAGAGCCCAGCACCCCCCTCACTGCCCCCTCCTTTCAGGCAGCTGTAGAGAGTGATGAGGTCTCCCCTCAGCCTCCTCTTCTCCAGACTAAACCCCCCCAGCTCCCTCAG